CAACGAGGCTGAATCGCTGGGATGAGTACCCACACATGGCATCTACAGTTAGGGCTGGAGATGGGGTATAAGATGGAGTCTAAGGCACAGAATTGTGAGCTGGCCACGTGGGGTGGCTTCATAGTACCCAACATTTGGGTAATTAAGTCACTCAATAACCAGAACCAATATATACGAATTATATTATCAGTAAGTAGCCAGACTATATATTCATGTGCACTGTTATACACCTTTAAATAATAGTTCCCCAACAATATATTATCTTCTCATAAACTTCCTTCTTGTTAATCATTTTATAAGTATGACATAATATATATTTATTTTTCTTAAATTAAACCTGAAAGTTTATTATTGGCAAAATATAAAATAAATTATAAGTTAAGAATAACTTTTAAATGATGTACAAATAATTAAAATATATATCATTTAATTTGAATGCACTGATAATCAAACCAATAATTTATTCCCCCGCAATATAAAACCAATTAAATCTGGAAAAGTGAAACTGATTTATGTGCAAGCACAGTGAAATTTATCGAAAAGCAATTAGCCGCAAATAAATATCAATGGAGCCATTAAACGCCGCTATTGATGAAGAATAACTTCTGGGGAGACCCTCGCCAGCAGGCGACTGGTGGAATCGCGCGATAATCAAAGCATAGAATTGGTTTTTGAGGTTTGCAGAGGACTCAGCTGGAAGGCAGTTGTTAGTTGTTGGCCAACTGTTCTTGACTGCTTTCGACGGTTCTTGTTCTTGACGGTGATGGAAGCCGCATGGAATGACAGCCGAACATCAAAGACGCTGGCTGCTCTTCAGCCAAGTGCGAATGCAATTGGGAGGGCTACGATGGCTATGAGTTTGGCCATGAAAAACCCAATGTCTGCGGCTTTTGCCATGTTTGATTGACTGCCTGACTAACTCCCGTGTGTTTCGCTCGTCACCCCGCGGCTGCAATCGAGTTTCGGCTTGGTGACGAACGCGTGCGCGTTACGCTTTCGGTCAAGCAAATCGGAATAATGGCCCCGGAGTCATATACTCCTATACTATATATTGTTGTAGCCGGCGCATAAATGCATAAAAAGCGAGTCGACTTAGTTGTATATTCGCCAAACAATTTGCATAAGCGGCACCGACAAACAAACCAAAAAAAAAGGAAAAAAAAAAACAACTTCAATATCCGTTGATCGCAGCATCGTCGAGGGAGCAATTGTATCTGCCAGATACATCAACATTTGTATTTATGCCCCAGTCGCATTGTCGCATCTACATATCCACAGCAGTATTTGGTTTCCATTTACGAGGTTGTCGTCGCTACCGTTGCCCCCAGTTGGCGGCTATATATCTCCAATGCTGATATTACTCTCACTGCAGTCAATATGGAAATCAAATGCTGGGTTATTGCTCGAAAAGGGGGACGGGACTTTGATGAGTAGTTTGTCTGCGGATCCCCAGAGAAATTTGCGGTTCAATAAATACTTTATTCATTTTTCAACAGATTATTCGATTGAAATAGCAGTTATGTAAGTTGAATGTAAAGCTTCATGAATTTTGTTCTGATTCAAGACCACTGAATTCCTAGAAAAAACCACTGGTGTCAGAAAGTTTTAGATTTCGTTTTAATTTTACCAGAACTGAATTTAATTTGGTTTTTTTCCCCTGCCAACCAGCTGCTGTTTTCTCCTGCATTTTGCGCTACCAGCCCGTAATACTTTGGCATTAAATATGAAAAATCAATTTCAGATGCTGGGCTTTGGCATAAAAACCGCAAAACGCTCGAGCACAGATACAAGACCTTACACATTCACGTATCATAAAGTCTGAAAGTCTGAAAGAGCGGCGAGCGCGAGGAGAAATGAAAATAATACAAGCTTATGCATTGCACCCCTCGACTCATAACAGTTTCATTGTTAGTGCAGGAATATTCCACATAATCATAAAAAGCATGAATACACTCAGAAATATGATGTACGTTTTATGGTAATAAAATAGATAGATATCAATGTATGTCAAGTGGAAAATGCGTTTTTTATGGTGAATGTTGCAAGTGAAAGGATTGGTTTTTAAAGGAGACAGATTGAAGAGAGTTATTCCAACGAAAATTTTTTCTATAATAGGGTTAAAATGTTATTATTTGCTTACTTTTTTTTAATGGGTGTATACTTTTGAATAGTACTCACATTAAATTTAAAAGTTTATCTAATTTATGTAATTAAGTTATGTAACTAAGTTTGGATGCAAACTTATTTGAAACTTGTACCAAAATCTTTTGGAGGATATTTATTCTCAGTGTGTTATGCATATGCATTGGCCAGAGGGCAAGTCAAGGAGCGTTTGAGGGAAAGGAGGTGCAGGACTTGAGGTCTGAGAACTGCCGGTGGTGCAACGTGCGGTCATGTGGCCCGCACTGGAATACATCCATGAGCCACATGAACCACCCTCTGCCGCACTTTCCTATTAACGCTTAGGTTGAACGAAAGTATTTTTTTTTTCTTCGGCTGGCCGATATTTGCATAAAATGTGCAACGGCTGCTGGCAGCTTGGGTTACTTTTATGTGTGTTTTTTTTTCACCCGTTTTGTTTTATTATTTATTTATGCACCACCCGCCTCGTTGGCTTTCCATGGGCCAGCACGACTTGCACGTTCTTTTTTCGATTGCAACCCGGTGTAATGGCATTTATTTCAAGCCTAGCCAAGTGACTCGCAAAAAGTTGGAGGCAAATTAATGAAGTTCTACCCCCCTTGATTAAAACTTTGCTCTTAACCTTGCAATTTTGCGTACATTAAGTTCGGAGGAAAAGTTCTGTTCCGACACTTTTCCATTTCCTTCATGGAGATCTAGTTTTTTGTGTTTTTTTTCGTTTTTTTTTGTGAAACCTCTCCCATAGTTTAGTGAGCGATTTCCATTCGAATTGAGGGTTCCGCCCTCATCTGAGATTTGACCCAGTTATGGCCGGCTTGGATCACGATTCGGAGCTTTATTTTCCCATTTTAATTGTAGTTGCTTTGGCTTTCTGCTTTGTGGTCATCATTTTTTCTTTATTGCCTTTGCTTTGAAGCGGGCAGATAAATAGCCAGAAGGCTGGTTTATTCAAATTGCTATTGTTATGAATAAAATAAAATATTTGAAGAGAGTTTTGGTTCATGCTGCTTTTTTTTTTGTTGGTTGCCAGGGCACCGAGATTGATAGAGATAAGTAAAGAAATGGAGGGGGATGGATGTGGGAAAAGAGAAGATTTCATAGAATGAATTTTAGGGAAAAAGCTTCGCCTGAGAAAATATCATTTTGTTATTTTTATTTGAATCATCCTCAGTAATAAGAGTTTTAAAAATATTTACATATTTGCAATCATTTAAAACCGGATAGTAAATAGATGTAGTAAATAAAAGAGCGTTAAGCTTTTAGTTAAAATGTAATGCAAATAACATTTTTAAGGCTACCAATTTTGTTGTGTAAACAATCCATTTAATTTTTTGCCCACCAAACAATTTTTAGCGTTTAACGGTTTGAAAAATTGATTAGATTAAAAAAATGACGTGGGTGCAGAATTTACTTCAATTATTTACAGCATGTATTATTGCTAAAACACAATACCAGGAATCCCTTTATATTTTATTTTATTTATAGCTTCATGAATTAAATTAAACAATGCTGCATTGAGACAAAAGCTACAAAAAACGAGGACACATTTGTTTGCCGTTTAAATAAACTTGAAAAATCAATTTAAAAAACAAGTACTGTGCCAATAAACGTAAACGCATAAGTGATGGTTAAACTCCCATTGTCCGGTGCACATTTTGTCCATCAATTTACCCCGAACAATTGCAGTTGTTTATTTGATACCCGAAAATAAACAAAATTCGGCTGGCAGAGCTGGGAAACCAGGGGAAAAAGTAAAGAAAAAGCATCCGCAATGGCCGCAGCGAACTTGAAACAGGCAATTGGATCTGCTGGCCCCAGTGCTTAATCAAGTGTGAAATCTTTAATCAAGTCGAGTTCCCCACGACCGAGTGAATTCCCAGCTGCCGTCCCAAATCCCAATCCCAACTCCGAACTCCCAGCTCCCAACTCCCAATCGCAGATCCAAAAGCCGATGCAACGCAGCTGTCCGATGGCTTTTCAGTTAGCCTACCTGGTTTCGACCTTTTTTTTTTTTATTTTTTTTTTTGGTTGGTGTGGTGTTCAACTTGTTTTTATTATTGGGTCTCCCTTCTGGATCCCTCCCACGCTCCCAAGCCTGTCAATTAAAAAGCCATTCGATGGCCCAGGCCCTGAACTGCACGACTCGTTGCCAGTTGGCAATAAACAACAAGGCAGAAAACACAAAAAAACCAAGAAAAAACTTAAACGAAACGAAACGAAAACGCTTTTCAAGTTGTTTTATTTTCACTGGCCACTTTCCAGTGCGAAATTAACTGAATTAGCTGTAAATGCAATGGCTAAATTATCGGCACCGATATTGGAATAAGATATATAGTAGTATAAGAAAGCGGCTTAGGCGGAAAGTTTTCGCCGGAAATTAAAATATTTTCGTGACATTAACGAAACGTTTGGCAGGCGTTTCTAAGAAAAAGTTGGCGAGGCTGAAAACTGTCGTTTATCGATTAAAATGAATTTGGATTTCCAGAGAAACCTGCTTTAAATCTATAACATTTCATATAGGTTCCTATATACTTAGTACATTTTTTCCTTAAACCCTTGAAAATAAAGTGTTTACTTAAGTCAACCATGCATTCTTGATTTAACTCGAAAATGTCTGCGGTTGGCAGTCTCTGATGGACCCAGTGAACCACAAAGGAGTTTTATTCTTAGAAAAGCCAGTCAAGATTTTCCTAGTTTTCCCTTCAAACTGACTTCAAGGAAGCGCAGCTACAACGAAGGAATTTTCCAGTTAGAATCATTTTTCATCCAGCAATTTTGCCACAACCACATCGTTATTCAAATCCATAGCTTAAGAGATTACTCCGGCTAATAATCATTTTCATCCTTTCTCTTTGCAGTTAATGATACGTCGGAAAAGCTTCGCAGAAGTGGAGGTAAGTGGAGCTGTGGAAACGGGTTGTTCAACCCCACAAAACACGAGTATGCCCACTGTAGGGCACCCAAGGGAGGCATCGGTATCAATCTTAATTTATAACAAATTTAATATGGTTGTTCGCAGTCGAGGCGAATTCCCCTCGGAAAATCCGAGGCGCCTACACATATGCCGAGTATAACCATTTCGATTTTTCCTCCGCCCTTGCCCTTCTCCTTTGCAAATGTGCAATGTGTCGGATCCGATGGGTTTTCGATGGGTTACCATGTGTGTGTGTGTGGGCCAAGTTGCACACTTGGAATCCTTAAATCCTGTGCGTCAACGCCCGTAAATATGCCACAAAAAATATTGAAATGGGCGCAACGGAACGTGTGCGGCAAAAAACACACTTAAGTGATTTTATGGCGCCATTCAAATGTTTTCCAAATCAGCCGAACGTGAACCGCCGAAGCTGAGGTTTTTCCTGGGTTCCATAAATTTCCAAGTAAAAACACACCTCGAGGCATTTTTGTGCCTGATGTGAACAAGTGGCAAACGTTTACCTTCGGCAACAAGTAGACAGAAGGCAGAAGAGTTTGCCACACACAGAGTTGGGTTGGTTTTTGTGCCGCGGGTGGGAAAACTTCCTGATTTCCTTATCTCTGAGTTCGCCTGTCGACGGTTCTCGATTGGTTTGGCCTTCCGATTGACTGACTGAATGAATGACTAACTGATTGTAGGAGTGACTGCCGCAGGCGGTTAACGTCTTGCATATTTTAACAGTCCCCATTAAAGCGAGTCCTTTCGGTGTCCCATTAAATATGGAGCGATGCCCTGCACTGCTTGGTTTTAAACCCCAAAGAGCCTAAAAGCCAAATAAATTTTGGTTCCGTTAGATGCCATTAGGCCTTGTGGATTTTCTTTTTGCCCCTTTTGATAATTGCTTTCCCACATTCAACCCGCAAAAAAAAAAAGAGTCTTTCTTCACCGCCAGCAGATAATGTATTTCAAATTGTTTACCGTATACGCAATGCACAACTTGACAAAAGTTTGTGGCAAATATTTACCTTTTTTCCCCTCCCTCCAGCGCTAATGTATAAATAATTGCATGTCACTTGCTGACTGAGCAAACACACACTTTATTGTTTGCCCCTGCGATTTGGCTTTGTGTCTCTGGGTTTTTTTTTTGGTTTTTTCCTCACTCGACTTTGGCTTGGATTTGGATTTGAACAGTTCGTTTCGGAATATATGTCGCTTGACGGGCTAACACCTCGACATAATTGGTTGGGGAGCCGCAGAAGGTCTATCATTATCATAATGCCAAATGGTAAGCCATACTGTGCATAATTACCCACCCAGAAATAAGGGTAAAACCCAAGGGCCACATCCAAATTGAAACAAAAAGTAACGCAAATATGGTGCATTGCAAAATGTGTAATTTGTATTATTTATGTCACATCAGGCCATCAAAAATTAAGCACAAAATCAATGCACCGCCCGAGGGTAAAAAGGCAAGGAAAAAAGCCAATGGTAAATGATTCGATGACGGAAAACTCGGGGGCTCAAAAGTTTTTGCAATTGACAGTCGACAGCTTGTTGACAGTGGCGTCTTAAATAATGCAGGCCATTAAAAAAGAATAAACCGATTGTATGAAAAATGCAAAAAGCAACAAACAGCAATTAACGTCGAGTGGCTTTATGAAATAAAAGTTACGAGCTGGCAGCCGCAGTGGTTGGAAAATGTGTTGGCCAGAAAGCGGTTGGCGGCTTTTCGCCGTTTTGACCACTTATAATCGGACGTGATTGGCGACAAATTGCGCCCAGATGAGTGATTATATGCTGGGTTATATGATTGTTCTTATTTAATATTTAATCAATGATTTCTGAAAACTTTCCGATTATATGAAATTTGATTTATTTAAATGATTACGATTATGATTATGGAGACCATAAATTAATTTAAGCTTTTCAAACTAACAAGCTTCCACAATACATTATTTCGCTTTTCATTTTGATTACCTATTTATTTGTTTTAATCAAAATCATTTTATTACTGCGTTAGAATATAGAATATGAAAAAATCTTTTCCGCAGCCAATAAAAGACCTCTCCCAACTCCTACTAAATCCAAGTTTATTTTTTTATTTATTTTTATCTTGAAGACATTGTTTGGACCGCGTTTTAGATTTAAATGTGGACTCGTGATGTCTGTGGCCAGAAAGTCGCGCCGACAAGTCTGCAAATGCGAGTTTGTCGCCCTCTGCGTGTTTTGTTTCTTTTTTTTTTTTTGGTTTTTCTGTTGGCTTTGCGGGCCATAAATCACAAAATAAATATTGCGCGTGCAAAATGTATAAAAACGGAAGCGAGACATTCGGCAAAGGAGAATGCAATAAAAAGTTTTTGATTTTCGGATTTCTTTTATTTACTCGCGCGCGGGCGAGCAAACTGAATCGCCGCCAGAACCCAAAACTCCAAGGGGGTTGTGGGGGGTAAAGACACACCGGAAACGGAAGTGCGTAATGCCATACGTGACCAGACCTCAACGAAAAGCTGGTCTGCGGTTCGTCCACGGCAAGGTGCAAACCATTTTGATGATTAATTACGGGGCCAAAAACCCGAACAACATGAGCCACAACATGGACACGAACATGAGTCAGTGGGCCTGTGGTTCTTTTGTTGTTGGCAAACGAAACAATAGCCACCATTTGCACTAAAAACAAAATCAAGCAGCCATAAAAATGCAATAAAGAAAAGGTTTTCCTCTTCTCTTCTCTGCAGAGCGGGGTCATTTACTTCGTCTGGCAGGGAAAGTCGTAAATACTGATTACGATCTTTAGGCGCCGCTTCCCGAATCTGTTTTTCTAATGTCATATGCAGAACTCGTAAAAATATTAGGCTGCTATCAACAATTTTATCAGCCATACTGTATGAGCGGAAATATCTCTATATAAAATGTTTTATTGTGGTTAAATGTTCACAATGGGAACAATGTTTATTTTTTGCCTGCAGCCTTAATTAAAATAAATTTAAGGTGTAAAAGCTGGAGCTTTGTTGTCATTTGCAAATATTTAAATGGTTGTAGCTTCTAAACAAAAGGATTGTAATTTGTGTTTTATTGTTACCTGAGTTTTATTTAAATTTTCAAAATTAATAATGTATTAAATGTATACCCTGCAAGTATAAATTAGTTCTAATTAGGCTTTCAATATTTTCTCGAGATCAACAAAGTTCTTTAATTTTGTTTTACCTCCTAAAGAGTATCAAGAATCCCTTTTGAAGTAAAACCTCACTACAATTTTGTCTCCCTTTTGTATTCTTTGTTGTACACGCTGGTCAATTTCGGTTAGGAGTTTTAATTAAAATTAATTAAGGTCGGGAGTGCTTTCAAAGAGCACCTCCAAAGAGCCCTGACAACGCCCAGTTAATTAGGAGTCATGCCTAAACTGACGTAATTGTTTGGGGGAGGACCGAGTCCCCAAACCCCCCTACTATTTCCCCCCCTTTCCCCTTGAAAATTCCCCCTGTGGATATGGAGTGTAGAGAGCATGGCAAATGTGAAAGCAGCTGTTGGCCAAATGTGCGAAAATTACTGGCAAATTGCCGGCGAAAATGACTCGACTAGACCACGGCCATGGTCTCTGGCTGATTTGCATAAGAGAGCCAGCGGCTCAGCTGCAGTTTCGCAATTATTCATCCGGCCAGAAAGTCCGTCCGTCATTCAGTCCGGCTGTTATTCTGTCAGTAAGTCAGCAAGCCAGCAAGTCAGCGAGTCAGCGAGGCAGCGAGTCAATCGCAGATGCCGCGTCACATCGAGCATCATTTTCTCAGGTTCTACTTACTGCCCTGCAGCAAAATCTATCCGCATCTATCCATCCATCCGAATGGCTTTCCACTGGCGTTCTTTTCGAGCTCTTTTCACCGGCTACCAACTGCAATTTCAACGCCCAGTAACTGTACAAGATAATGCTGCAATTTCATTATGCAGATCGACCCTTTGGGTTCTCCTTGCGGTTAAACTGGGCCAGCTGCATGGCTTAAAGCCAGCTAGCCACCTTCTCAATTACTTGGCCCGCTTCGAAATTCCTTTTGCAAGACCACAGCTGACAGACAGATGGACAGTTGTCAAAGAGAAGTATATATACTCGTTCAGTATTGCCTGTCCTGTGCGTTAAGACAATGCCATTTCATTATGTCAGTGGTGTATTTCTGCGAGTGGGCTGCTGTTCTGATTCAGAGCCATATTAAACTCGGTGTGGGCTAAATTCACTCCGGAAAGGACATTTTGCCGGGGGCCTTTTCATAAAAAAGTTTCTTCATTACTTTGCCTGCAATGTAATTTGAGAAAATGGTTAGATTAAGGCAAAAACAGCAGAAATTAAGAAGGAAAACAGCAGCTGAAGGAAAACATGAAAAAATACAGAATTAATTAGGTTACAACAATAAACATTTTTTACAATGTGATGGAAAATTTATTTGCAAGGATAATATTTAAACTGTTGAAAAACAAAAAATATGTACATATATGCATATGAAGGTATGTACAACTCACTTGTTTTGATTAAACAATTAAAATCCATCAATGAATACGGAAATAGAAAAATTTTCATAACATAAATGTTTGTATATGCCAGCAACGTTTTTGCAAATGAAAACTTAATTTTTACAAAACAAACTCCATATAAAAGCTTTACCTGAATAAAAAGGCAGTGCGAAATCCAGTGTTGGCTTAAAAAGAACTGGATATTCAGTTGGCCTGTCCCTTAGCTTTTCCCCTTCCCTTTGAGATTTTTTAATTATGCTTTGGCAGCGTGAAAACTTTTTCAAGTGTTTTCCTTCTCGCACCCACCCGAGTTTTCCGGAGGGTTCCGGCAATTAACGCCACGTTTCGAGTGGCGAATGTTTTGTCCTGTTGCCGAGATCTCTGGGTTCGCGGCCTTGGCCCTTTCCTCGGCTCGCTTATTAATTTGGCCAATTTAAAGACGGAAGCTGGTAGGCAGCAGCAAACAGCAGGCAGAGAAGGCGG